CCAACCACAACAACAATAGCACCAACCACAACAACAACAACACCAACCACAACAACAATAGCACCAACCACAACCATAGCACCAACCACAACCATAGCACCACCACCAACAATAGCACCAACCACAACAACAATAGCACCAACCACAACGACAATAGCACCAACCACAACTACAACAACATCACCACCACTACCACCAACACCACCACCGATCATGCCAAGCACCACCACAGCAACAACCACCGCAGCAACCACGCCAGTGACGCCGCCAGTGACGCCAGTACAACACTCGACCACCACTCAGCTCCCCTCCAACAACGGAATGTCTTCGGTGTCCGCTGGCGCCACAACCTCAAGTCTACGTAAGTAGAGATGTATCGTCTACTTGCAAAATAATTGGTCGCTTTAAAGCAGAAGGGGGCTATCCCGAAAAATGTTGTTTTTGAGATAATTGAAGGTACAGTTTTTGGGCACTTGTTCAGTTTCTAAGACAAGGAGAGTTTTCTCTATAAACTAGACAAATGCACGCACCAATGAAACCAAACTTCTCCTATAGGTAGGGCAATGGCCACTTTTGGTGTAGGTCAAGATTTCTGGAAACCCCCAAAATCTGGGTTAGCCCGCTTGTCCTTATTGTGACCAATTCTGACAGGGTTTTTACTAGTTTTCAGGTTGTAGTTCTGTAATTGTACAACCTCAAGTTTGCGTGATTATAGATCTGTGATCTACTAGTAAAACAATTCTAATGTTAGACTGTTGTAGTTCAGCCCCGCACAATGTTAAGTTTACGTAAGTATAGATCTACGCGTAAAATAATTCTAACAGGGCTTTTAGACTAATTCAGCACTACATAATCTCTAGTTTGCGTAAGTACAGATCTGTCCTCTACTTGGAAAATAATTCTGACAAAGCTTTTAAACTAAAGTTCTGTAAATGCTTAACCTTAAGTTTACGTGCGTATAGATCTATCATCTACGTGTAGAATAATTCTAACAGGGCTTTTAGACTAGCTCAGCAATGCACAAGCTTTAATTGGTGTAAGTCAAGATATACATGTAATTCTAACAGGGTTGTTAGTCTGTAGTTTAGCACATGCACAATCTTGAGTTTACCTGAGTATTGATCTACATGGAAATATTTCTAATAGGGCTTTTAAACTGTAGTTCAGTTAAAGCACAACCTTAAGTCTGCGTAAGCATAGATCTATGTAGAATTCTAACAGGGCTTTTAGAATGCAGTTCAGTAAATTATGCACAACCTCAAGTTTACGTAAATACCGTAGGCTATAGATCTACGTAGGGCATTAAGGCTGTACTTCAGAAAATGCACACCCTCAAATTTTCGTAAGCAATTTACGAGCTATTCTTATAGAGCTTTATAGGGCTGTCAAACAAATCAAATGGTTCTGGCACCTCCTACGACTACCAACATACCATCCAGCACAACGTGCCTACCTCCAAAAATTCGATGGCAACAAGGCTAGAGGGCGACCGAGAAAGACCTGAATAGATGGAGTCGGGGAAACATTAACCACCCACGGCATTCCCCTGACCCAAGCTCTCCGGCTGGCGACAGAGAGACGTCTCTTTCTTCCCGCGACACCCAAAAGGGTATAAGGAAAAGTAAAAAGTAAAAGTCTTATAGGGCTTTAAGGTTGTAGGCTTGCTACAGTAAATGTACTATCTCAAGTTTTCATAAGTTTTGATCTACATGTAATTCTAACAGGGTTTTTAGACAACTTCTGTAAGTACGCAAGTCAACAAACAGACCCTACAGTGTTTTTGCTCAAGCCTGGAAGCTCTCATGCGTCATGTGTATATTGTACAGAGACACCGTTTGTCTGCGTGTCTGTCTGTCTGTCCGTCTGTCTGTCAGTGTGTCCGTCTGTCTGTCTGTCTGTCTGCCTGTCTGCCTGTCTGTCTGTGTGTCTGTCTGTCTGTCTGTCGGTCTGTCTGTCTGTCTGTCTGTCTGTCTGTCTGCCTGTCTGTCTGTCTGTCTGTCTGTCTGTCTGTCTGTGTTTCCGTCTGTCTGTCTGTCCGTCTGTCTGTCCGTCTGTCTGTCTCTCTGTCTGTCTGTCTGTCTGTCTGTCTGTCTGTCTGTCCGTCTGTCGGTCCGTCTGTCTGTCTGCCTGTCTGCCTGTCTGCCTGTCTGCCTGTCTGTCTGTGTGTCTGTCTGTCCGTCTGTCGGTCTGTCTGTCTGTCTGTCTGTCTGTCTGTCTGTCTGTCTGTCTGTCTGCCTCCCATGACACCAGCAACTCTCCCCTCCCCAGAGCCGACCGGGCCCTCAGACAACAACACAACGACAGCTGACGTCATCTCCGGGAACGTCTGGGTGAGTGCTGTTCTCTGATATCTGACCTCTGACCGCTGACCTTAAGGCTTTGCGCAGTATCTATCCGGAGACGTCTTCGACAGAGCTTGACCAATCAAAATGCTTTGTGCCTCTGGACCAAGTAAAAAATAGATTCTAGACGTGCTTTAGACCAATCCGGCCCACCTGGGGTAAAAGAAAATCTGGGGGGTTACAGGGGGCATGCCCCGTTTTAACCCATAATTTGATATTTTGTAGTGAGGTTTTAAAATTTTCTTGAAAATAATCCTTTGCGACAGTTTTAGTGGCTATATACGTGTGATCTGCAGCAAATAATAAGCAGTTTGACCGGTAAAAGCAGTGCATCTGTGTGTGGGAGTGCGTCTCCGAATAGTTCCTGGAGAGGTCTCCGAATAATAATAAATAATAATAAATAGCATTTGTATAGCGCATGTCCACACTCGAAAGCAAGTTCTATGCGTTTTACACTATATTATTACCCCAGGAGACCATAGAACACTCAGAAACATTCTCAGCTTCCCGGGAAGCATACAGTGCAAGCAGCAGGTTAAGCGCTCAAACTCTAACGAACTGACAAGATCTTTCACTGTCTATAGCTGGGTACGCGTTTTCACCTGAGTGAAGTGAGGAAAATTCGTGTAAAGTGCCTTCCCCAAGGACGCAACGTCGGGCCCGCGGCTCGAACCCCCGAACACGCAACCTCACGATTACGAGTCCGGTAGTCTAACCACTAGACCACCGACAGAAAATCTTCTGTCGTCTTTTTGCTCTGAGGGAAACGCCTTTTATCCTGCCTTATCGATCTGTCCCTTGTAACTTAGACTCACCCCAACACGTCGGGAACTGCTGCTTTTTCTTTCCTCATCCTTATTATCGTCATTTTATCTCTACTTCTACTTCTTTTGTTTGTTTGTCACTCTTTTGTGAACTGCTATTTCCGGGACGCCTTGATAGTCAAAGCAGACTTTGTGCTGTTGAGGCTAGAGAGGTGAGCAGAGAAAGCCTGATTCTCCGTTTGGACTTTTCTGTTGGCATCCACCCCTTTGCACTCATATGACCTTATGCAGTTGCGAGCGCCGTAAAAACCTTACTAAAACCAACAACACTTCGGCGTTTAGTCAGGTCAAGTTGCTTGCTATTGCTATTTTTTCTTTGATTTGACGGAAACGCCCAGAAATGTCCGGTTTCCTTTGTCTGAGAAATATTCGAGTCGACTTTCCCCACAGCGAAGAGGCTGAACAATGGCTGTGGTTGTTTGCTGGCATGATAGGGCTCTAGATAAACTGTTTGTGTTATTGTCTTAACGTGAGTGTACGCGATAGAGGGAGGGAGGGTGAGAGGGGAGGGAGGGGGAGGGTGAGAGAG